TGACCGGAGAGCCCCTCCCCAGGAAAAGTTTATGTATTGACCGACCACCGTAGGAAACTTCTTAATTAGGCCTCAGACCCCTGGAGAAACACGGATGTCCTTATGTCAACAGAGTTTCCAATTTAGTGACACCTCGGACTGAAAAAAGCTCGGCGGCAAACGGGGGCGAAAGTTGAAGAGGGAATAAGCGTGTAATAGTCCCTCGCCAGACCTCACACATGCTGAAGAGAATATTTACAGCAAACTTGCCAAAGTAAACCACTCCGCCTACCCACCCTCCTTTCCCCCTTCCTCCCCCCCCCTTTTTTGTAAACTGCAGATAAACACCATTCGGTCACCAAAGGGTCGGTTGGTCCCCTTTACAGTTGGAGTGCCACGGGGGGAAAAGGAGGACGGAGCAGAGGCTTCCCCGGCGACTCTGGCAAGGCTCGCCTCTGGGTCGCATCTGTGGCCTGGGCAGTGGCTTGGTTGCGCGCGCGCGCGCGCGCGTGCGCGCGTGTGTGTGTGTGTGTGTGTGTGTGTGTAGGAAATTTCTTCCGAAATTTCCTCTGCCCCTTCCACATTTTACCATCTGCGTGCACGCGCGCGCGCGCGCGCACACACACACACACAGCTTGGCCTTAAACACTGCAGGCATAACAGATAGGGAGACGTGGGGTTTTTTTTAATTAAAAAAAAAAAATCAGGCCTGCAAAAAGGCGCCAGAATATCTGGAGGACATCAGAAGTTCCGTGGGTCCCCTGTGATCCAAATTTTAGCCCCCTGCTCCCTTCTCCCGCCCTTAAGGCACGGCTCCTCGGACTCTGCCCAGGGGCAGACTCATTCAGTGTTTCCCGAATGTCTTTTGTTGAGCGCGAGGCGGGGAGAGACAGACTACGGTCTACAAATCGAGAGAGAAGGTTGTGTAGACCCGACGCCTGGAGCCTAAAGCCGCGGGCCGGGGGCCCCCGCTAGCCTGGTGCGCTGCTGCTGCTGCCAGGCCTGGCACAAGTCTCCAGAAGGCGCTGGCCAATGTTTCACCCGAATGCGATGGCCACCAGGCCGCTTTTGTTTGTTCGCAAATTAATCACCCAGCGCATGGCCGGCGCCAGAGTGGGTTTATCACCCACCGGGAGGGGGGCGCGACGGCCCTGCACAGACAAAGAGGAGTTCGCACCTTCCCGCTTTTGATCCCAAGTTACCGCGGCCTCCCCGCAGAATACGAGACTCCTGGGGCCGAGTCTGGGAGGTCAGTCATAATTGGCGGAAGTTTGCAGACCATTAGCAAGACGTGGACATTTTCGAATCAGAACCCCGCAAACTTTCCTCTCCCCCCACCACTTGCGAGCAAGAATGGGAGTGAGGATAGGGAGTGGCAACTGGGGTAACCCCGGGGTTAAGTTAGAACTACCGGCAAAAAATAGGCAATGGAGGGAGGGGGCGGTGTAAGGGTCAGAGATCCTGCTTGGTCCACTCTGGGGCCAAAGGCGAGTCGAGATATTTACAAGTAAAATTAGCAAGCTCCCTTCCCACGGCCAGGCCTGGAAGCCGAGGACTTGGTGAAAACGTCTCTCCCTTGAGCATCTGGACGCTTGGGGCAACGAGAGAGGATGCGTCCAGTCACACTGTGCCCCCAGAACTGCTTTCCCTCTACTCCGAGCGGCCGGGCAGAGACTGGCTGGCGAGCGCAGGCAAAACCAGATCGCAGGGATTTGGGGCCGCTCCTGAAAGCGCCGCGGGGCTGCCCCGGGCTCGGGCAGCGAGCAGTGTGGGGGAGGGGTTGGGTTTGGGCCTCCAGAGACTCGCGAAACCCTGCGGTGACCTCGGTGGACGGCCGTAAGGAGGGGGAAGGTCTGGCCTCTGGCACCCTCCAGAATCCGGTCTCTAAGGGACGCGGAAGGGGGGGACGTTGTGAGCCAAGACCGTGGGCTCCTGCGGCCTCTTCCTTTTCTCTCTCTCGGCAGAGAGACCCCGAGAGGACGCCAGAAAAAAAAAAAAAAAAAGGCGGAAAGGGGGAAAAAAAGGGGGCGAGATGGCGAGCCAGACAGAGTTCGAAGAACCACTCCATTCTCTCCCGTGACTTCAGGGAATTCTTAGCGCTGACGCCAATTGCTCTTAACCATGTGCGTCAAAAATGCGAGGCTGAAAAAGCTTGTCGCCTCGAAAGTTCCGCCCCTATCTCCAGGAGGTTGGCTCACAAAAGAAGTGCATTTTCACCTTCCACTTGCTCCCACTTCGGAGTCTGGGGCTGAGGGTTTGGGGGTCCGCAAGGCAAACTGAGAAAGGACGGATCTGGCTGTCTACGCGCGCGCGCACACACACACACACACACACACACACACACACACACACACACACATCCTAAGCCTTGGTTTTCTTAACCCCCTAGGCCCCGAAACCAGCCCTCTCTCCTTTCCTTTCCACTCGAGGAAGCTCTCTACTCAGGAAGGGTAAAAGAACATTCTCCCCAAGATTTCCTTCCATCTAAGCAGGGCGGGCCCAACTCACTGCCCCCCCCCCAAAAGCGAGAAATGTGGGTTTGGGGACTCCTCTGACCCAGACAGGGACCTGCCTGCGGTAACAGATATCCGTTTGGCGACAGGTCTGATTCGTGAGTGACCTCCCTCCCCTCCACCCTCGATGACGCCCCCACCCTACCTGAACTGGAACAGTCACCTCGTCTCTGGGGTGGGGGCGTATCACGGTTTGTTTTACAAATTCACCCCCGACTTCTGGTGAGATAAATCCCCGGGTGCACCGAGAGATTAGTGGGATGCCTGCAGAAGATACAAAGAGGACGTACCTCCCCCTGCCAGCTCGCCCGCGGCCTGGGAGGTGAGGGCAGCGGTTCCGCGGGGGCAGGCCCAGAACCCAGACCCTTGCTGCGCTCCTTCTGTCCGGGTCTCCATTCTCTGCTCTACACTCATGCACACATTCAGGTGGAACTCCCGGGGAGCCCAGATTCAGATAGAAGAGAGACCTAAAGGGCTGGTAAATCCATTCCAAAAAACCCCAGAGTCCGCCTCCCCCCCCCCGGGGGGGGGCAGCCAGGGCCCGCGGCGCAGGCTGTGTACGTGTTTGCGTGTAAGTGTTTTCCCGCGGGTGGCTGGGTCCCAAGGTGCTGGCGCGAGTCCGCGTGCAGGAGTGCCGGGGTGTTCGGGTCTCCGCCCACAGTTTCGGGTGGGGCCGAGGGAAGAGGGAGCCCCCCAGCACGCCTGTGCCCCGGAACCCCACGAGCCCAGATGCCGGGAGCCCGGCGCCGAGAGCCACCCGAGCTCGGGAGCTCTTCAGCGGCGGCCGGGCGGAGCTTGGCTCCACGTGGGGCTGGGGAGCACGCAAGCCCGGAGTCTCGGCGCTCGCCTCTCCGCCGCTGCCGCCTTTTGTGGCGCCCGGCGGCGCAATGGCAGCTCGCGGGGGACTCGGCCGCCCGCCTGGCTCTCCCGGGGCCGCCGTGAGCGGGTGAGCCGCACGCAGAAACGGCGGTGGCGGCCCGGAGAGGAGAGGCGAGCCTTGCGCGCGAGAGGCGAGCGCCCCTGCCCGGCGCCTGGCGCGCTCTCCGCCTTCCTGGCCTGGCTCGCTCGCTCGCTCGCGCGCTCGCTCCCTCCTCCTCCCCCTTCCTCCCGGGGCCCTGCCTCCTCCCTCGATCCCGGGCTGGATGACTGAGGCATTTCAGACGTGGGCTGAGCCAGCGCCGGCGAGCGAGCTCCGGGGCTGCAGCGATCTCTCGATAAGCCACCTAGAGGCGACTTTGCGCGCGCTCCCCAGTGGCTCCCCGCCCTCCCTCTGATCATGTTGACATATTCACAGGACAGGCAGTAGTACCGATGCGGCGCTGCGACGTTACAGTTTCCGACACCTTCTTTTTATAACTCGGCTCTATCCCCCAGCACTCGACCTGTGAAAACCACGCCTATGCAGCAACACAATTGGTCCGAAAGCGTCAAAGAGCCAATCAAGAGGCCTCCGGCTCCCCGCAGCCCACAGCAGAGCCCGACCTTCTAGAGCCGCCGAGCAGACGCCCGGGGAATTCTAGAGGCGGAGGAGGGTGGCGCGGAGCTCTTGCTCGCTCGCTCTCGCTCCCTCCCTCTGCTCGCGCTCCCTCTCCCACTCCGTCCCTCTCTCTCCACTCTGTTTCTCTTTCTCTCTCTCCCCCTCTCCCCCTTTCATTCCCCCCACTAAATCCTCCCTGCCCTACGCGTCTGGACGCAGATTTAGGAAGCGATTTCGCTCACGTTTTAGGACAAGGAAGACAGGCGCGGGAGAACTCGGATTGCAACCCAGACACCCTCCGGAGGCTCGGAGCAGAGGAAGGAGGAGGAGGGCGAACGGAAGCCAGTTTGCAGTTCAAGTTTTGATAGCGCTGGTAGAAGAGAGCTTAAATCAGAGAGTTGTTGTTGGCTTTTTTTTTTTTTTTTTTTAAGGCGAGAGACTTTTCCGCTCTCTCGCTTGCTGGGGAAGCCGGGTGTAGCGCAACTGCGGGCGCCTCCAGCGAGAAAAGAGAGAGAGGAAGACAGACAGGGGGGCGGGGAAGAAGAAGGAGAAGACAAGGTAAAAAGTCTCCGAGCGGAGCGGTTCGCATTTGCAACAAAGAACTGGGGGCTGGGGAGCCATTCCCGGGACCTGGGGCTGCGGTGTCTCTTTCGGCGAAGCCGCGGGGCTCGGGCGCGGGTGAGACCCTGCTCGCTCCCCTCGCCGCGTGAAACCGACTTCCAGGAGCGGCTTTTTAAAAAACGCAAGGCACAAGGACACTCACCCAAGCAACTATGTCTTCTGACTTCTCGCCTTGCCCTCTTTAAAAGCGGCATCCCGCCCCCCAAAAGACATTTTCCTCCCTCTTCCCTAGGGTGCTTGAGTGGTGATCCCCCCCCTTTCTTTCTTTCTTTCTTTCTTTCTTTTTCTTTTCTTTTCTTTTTTTTTTTTTCCTTTTTCAAACTATGTGCTGCTGTTAAAAACCAAAAACAAAACCAAACAGCAGCTGCGGACTTGTCCCCGGCTGGAGCCCAGCGCCCCGCCTGGAGTGGATGAGCCTCTCCATGAGAGATCCGGTCATTCCTGGGACAAGCATGGCCTACCATCCGTTCCTACCTCACCGGGCGCCGGACTTCGCCATGAGCGCGGTGCTGGGTCACCAGCCGCCCTTCTTCCCCGCGCTGACGCTGCCTCCCAACGGCGCGGCGGCGCTCTCGCTGCCGGGGGCACTGGCCAAGCCGATCATGGATCAATTGGTGGGGGCGGCTGAGACCGGCATCCCTTTCTCGTCCCTGGGGCCCCAGGCGCATCTGAGGCCTCTGAAGACCATGGAGCCCGAAGAAGAAGTGGAGGATGACCCCAAGGTGCACCTCGAGGCCAAAGAACTTTGGGATCAGTTCCACAAGCGGGGCACGGAGATGGTCATTACCAAGTCGGGAAGGTAAGCAAGTGGCAGAGCCCCCCCCCAAACTATTGCGCTCCCCCACTTCCCACCCCTTCCTTTTATCGGTTCCCAGCACTGTTGGTTTGCCAGTTAATTTGGGCTTAAAGAAAAACTTAGGTCCCATGGAACTGTGTGCAGACATTCCCCGGCCCTGTTTCTGTGGCAGGAAATTTCGGCTTACCTGGATGTCTGCAGGGGGGTCGTTTCTCCTACCTAGCTCTGCATCCTGGATTTCCCCCACGGGCTGGATAGACTCTTTTCAAGGGAGCACAGACACTACTGCAGGAAGAAAGAAAACCACCCCACTCCAGGAAATGCACTGTGGCAAACCTTTCCATGCCTATGTCTTTGTTGATGTTTTGTTTGGTTTGTCTCATTTTGTTCCCAGAGAGAACAACTTGACGCCCTTTTCTTTGGTGCGGTCGTGGGAGACCTGACACTAGCTCTCTACTTGCCCTTTCTGCCCTCCAGCCAGCCTCTGGGTCTGCAGGGGTACCTGAGTGTGCCTCTGGCAGGGTCACAGAGAAATTTGGGTTTGTGTGTCCACACCGATTCACATGTCTGTAATCCGAGGGAGAGTTGAGGCGATTTTGGATCATTAAGATTATGTTTGCAGATTCAAGGAGCCAGTGGAGAGACACATGCTGGTTTTTTACGTGTGAATCTTATCAACCATATTTCATATAACTTTCACAAGGTCCTTGCCTGACCAAAACCTGTCACTTAAAATCACTGATTCTCTTTTTATGGCCTTGAAGCCCAGGAATTCTATTTTATTAGAATAATAAAAACAAAATTCCTTTCTTCGTGTCTTGAGCGTTCAGTGTCTTTCCTAGCTAAAAAGGAGGCCAACGTTTGGCAGAAAATTTCTCAAACCCAGGAGACATTTCCTCAGTTTCACATCGAAGTGCTTCCTTTTCAGTCGAGACTCTAGAAGGCCAACACTCCTGGGAAGTAAAAGTCCGTTTGGGGCCGGTCTGAGCCATGGGAGAAACGCGGTTAGCCTGCGTGCTAGGCGAATTAGTTATCAGGCCCAGGAGTCCAGCCTGAACTACAAAATTCGTTTTGAGAACTCCCTGACGGCCACTTTCATTTCGCCAGCGGCGGGATTCCTGTTCCGTAGGGGAGGGTGGCGGTATATTTCCTTGATAAGTTTAACATTTTCTCATCAGTGGAGTGGTGGAAAATTCTAGCCTTGACTGACCTCACTTTACTAAAATCCTACTCCAAGCTGTTTAGAAGTAGACACTCAAAAGGGAGGAGCACAGGCAAGAATTTCTCTGCAAAGAGGGCCATCTGTGAAGTCCTACAAGAGGAAAAAATTGTGGAGAAAGTATTAAGACACTGCAGAGAATTGTAGGTCAGTGTTCACTTGTTTTGAACCTTGAGGCATTCCCCGATAGAGAAACTGAGCATATGTAATGCGTGGGCCATGGAAGGATACGATTCTGCACTCAGTAGTCCTCCTCTGACACCGAATCCTCATCAGTCAATCACAATAGAAAAATTTTAATTTTGATTTAAACATTTTAGGGTAAATAAGGAATCAGACCCCAGAGTCTGAGTGATTTCTTTTTTCTTCTCTTGTTTTCTCTTCCCTCCAATTGTAGGCGAATGTTTCCTCCATTTAAAGTAAGATGTTCTGGGTTGGATAAAAAGGCCAAATACATCTTGTTGATGGACATTATAGCTGCTGATGACTGTCGATATAAATTTCATAATTCTCGGTGGATGGTGGCGGGTAAGGCTGACCCTGAAATGCCAAAGAGAATGTACATTCACCCAGACAGCCCTGCTACGGGGGAACAGTGGATGTCCAAAGTTGTCACTTTCCACAAACTGAAACTCACCAACAACATTTCGGACAAACACGGATTTGTAAGTTTCACCGCTCCCGCGCTAGTCAGTAAAATTTCCTCTTTCTTCACCCAGCAAAGGCAGTGCTTCCCCCTCTCCTTGCAAAAATCACCAGTTTCTGCTCAGACCTCTCCCTTGCTCTCTGTTGCTAAGCATAGCAAAGTTGTTCGATCCGAAACAGCCAGAGAGCGGATTCCAGAGTGTTTCTCTTCGGATAATGGAAGGCCTGGCGTTCTTTAAAATAAAAGGGGGGGGGGGAGAAGAAGAATTGAGGGCCAGAACACTGACCGCTCACGTTCCATGGCAGTCCCAGATCTTGGTAAACGGCTGACAGTGAAGTTAAAAACCAGTTGTTAAGATAATAAAATCCATTTTAAAGTTCCGTGTTCTCCAGGGATTGGTTCTGAACTCTCTGAAAACTTCTGTTTTGAACCCAGCCATATTATTTCTCGTGGGAGTTTTAAGGTTAAGGAGTTTTAACCAAGGGCTACAATTGTTAAAGGGGGTGACTGCGGTTTTTTGAAAGATTCCTTTCTTTTGTGAAAAAAGAATATGGGCCTGAGGTGGAAGTCAGGTTTACTAGAAATGAAGCTTGAGTTCTCCAGGATAAAAATTGCTGTGCGTGTCTGTGTGTGTTGGGAGTGTATAGAAATCGATTCCATGGGAGAGTCCTTAGAAACTTTTAGGAGACCAGAATTGCTTATAAAAGTCAAAACAAAACACCTTTTGCCCCCAGCCCCCTACCTTTCCCCAACATTTCAGTACAATAAAGCTGAGTGATAAGAGAGGAATCAGCAGAGAGATTAGGCCCCAGAAGACGTGAAGGGCACGGAAGTATCTTCAGCGGGCCAGGATTGCCTTTGAAGCCCTTGATTTGATTAAGGCATAAATATTCCCTCTCTAGAGTTCAACCTTTCAGGGCTTTAAGTGGATTGGGCTCGTCAATTAGTGGGCGCTTAAAGGACTGAATCATTTTGTAAATTAAAATGCATGTTTTTCTCTATCTTTTAAGACTTTGGCCTTCCCAAGTGATCACGCAACGTGGCAGGGGAATTATAGTTTTGGTACTCAGGTAGGCTAGGGTTCAAGGTATGAACGGACCTTAGGTGGTGAGGGTGGGGGGACCCTTTGGAAATTGAAAAGCAGTTTGGATTCTCCAGAAGAGGATGTCTATGGAGCGGAATGTGCCCAAAGAGGTGCTCCAAGGAGGTGGGCTTGGCCTAAGCCGTTGGTGGGGTAGACGTCAGCCTGGCAGGGGTCCTGAGGTCTCGTTGGTCCCACTAAATCGCCTTATTTTTTTTTTTTTTGCACCTCCCCCCCCCTCCCCCCCCCCCCCCCCCGCAGACAATATTGAATTCCATGCACAAATACCAACCTCGATTCCACATTGTGAGAGCGAATGACATCTTGAAACTTCCTTACAGTACATTTCGGACTTACTTGTTCCCCGAAACCGAATTCATCGCTGTGACGGCATACCAGAATGATAAGGTAACCAAAGGCGCTTTTCTTTTTAAGGGTGGTATTTCTCCCCTTCCGCCTTTAGGCCGCTCTGGGGGTGAAGTGGAGAAAGGAAAGATGAGGGATGGGTGTGCTGAGGTTTTTCTTCCATGATTTGACTCTTCCATGGAGCTTTTGGGGAAAGGGGGTCTGGGCCATCCCAAGAGGTGGGGAAGAAAGAGAACAAAGCAAAACAAAAACTTGACCAGCGAGGAATCCCACACGGAGCGAAAAGAGCTCAGACTAACTTTGCTCCTCTGGGCTGACATCCGCTCCCCCAGTGGGGGCCTTCTCTTGTTTTGAGGCTCAGCCCCTTCTCCTCCAGAAGGAAGGATCAAATACCAGGTTCCAGGTTCTAAAGGAACCCGCTAAAAATCGAAGGTAAAAGCCATTTGGGATCTTGGAAGGAGAATCCCATTGGAGAGCAGCTTTTCTCCCCTAGCCAGAAATCCGGAGTAGCTGGTCTGGTTTTTATTACATTTTATGCTGCTGTGTTTTTTATGATGTGTGTGTGTGTGTGTGCTTGGAAAAACCTTCTCTGATCACAGGGGTCATGCTAATCGAGTTGTCTGAGGCTTTTGAGATGAGATGACCAAAGTGAAAAATCACTTCATTGGAGGGCTTTTCCTCCCTTGGGCCTCAGGCCCGAGATTAGGAGTACCCCCAAATGGAACAGCAGGCAGGCCCTGGTATATAAAGTTATGGTGGCTTGAAGGTCATGGGCATGTGCACAGAGACACACAGAGAAAGTGACTCTTGGTTATCTGACAACACCTTGTATCTTGAACTCACGGTCACCGTGGGTGGGTCCTCTGGCTGGCCCCGTGGGGATATTCAGGTATGTTTCCTTAATCCGGAGACTGAGACACCAGCAATTTTACATACAGGAGTTTATTCCAAGAAACAAGAATCCATCCAAGGGGACTTTTTCCCACATCTGGGGAAATCTGTGTATATCATGTGTTTTTTGTCTCCCTTCAAAGGGAAGGGATTTGAAAGATTACATACTATGGCATTTTGCCCCAGCATGCAAACAAAATACATGGCTTCCTCTAGACCCAGAACCCTATGAATGTAAGTTGTTAATGTAATAATAAAATGTACCATTTTTGATCAGGCAGAGAAGCCAGAGGCCTTCTCCAACCTAATGGTGGTGGCAGAGCAGATAAACGAAAGCAAATGTTTCCAGTGGTCATTCAGTCCTTCGACATCTGTAATTGTCAATATTGTAATTCTTCAATCCTCCCCCCTCCCCACAAAACCCAGCAAAAAAATCAAACCCATTCTGTCACAAGGGTAGTGAAAACCCCATAAATCATTTAATTAGATTCATAGAAAAGGTTGGAGAGTGTGCTGTGGGGTGTGTGTTGGGGGGGATATGCCATGACATATTTTATGATTAATTGTGCTATATTAAAAACAAAATGAAAGCACAATTTTAAGATCCACAGGTTGTCCTTTGGACAGCTTCTGAAAATCTTTCCATTTCTCAGTGCAAGCTCTCAAGGCTGCCTACAGAACAGAATGAGGCATTTCCCAGACAGTCTAATTTCAGTCTGGAATCCCTGGTTTGGCTTCCTATGGGAGATGCAAGCCATTGGTACAGTTGTTTTGATTTTTCTCTTGGTCCCCTCTGACTGACAAACTGTGATGTCCTCTCCCTTTGTATTTAACCTGGCATAGCTGGGTGAATTCTTTGGGCCATCGGATTTCTAGTAGGCAGAGTTGGGGGGCAACACCACATTCTGGAAAATGAGGCCAATGTCTCTTTCTTGCTTGTGTCTCCTTCTCTAGATAACCCAGCTAAAAATAGACAACAACCCTTTTGCAAAAGGTTTCCGGGACACTGGAAATGGCAGGAGAGAAAAAAGGTGAGTGGAGACCCTCAGTATTATTTTCTCAGATAATTTTTTTTTTCTGGGGCCCAGATCTCACCTATTAGAAGTGGGATGCAGGCACGTCTGTAGTACTTGGAGGGGGAGAGAGTGGGAAATAATTTACTCCCACCCTTCCCCCTGCCTGTGGACCTCAGGACACTGTACTTTTTCCTGCCTCCTACAGGTTACCTTAAAGGAGATGAACTAGGCCACGCCATTTTCGTCTCTGGAAAGAAAAGTGTCAGGGATAACAAATTACATAGAGATGCCTGTTAATTCCTAATTAATTGAGGTTCATCGCAGGCAGGTCCCAGGAAAGGACTAAACCATTCACAAAATGCTTTGGAATTTTTGCAGTCTCTTGTCTTGCAAATACCATCAGACAGAACTGAGGCCCCTTGAGAAGTCTGTGGCTCCCTCCTTCATGGGTATATGTATCATTTTGCATGAAGCAGACAGCTGGATAGTGTATGGAAGACCCTCTCCCCTCCCCCACCAGCTTTCAAAGAATTTCTAAAATCCAGCAAATCAGTCTAGATCTTTAACCTATCCCCTTGCCGGGTGGGGTGAGCATAATAAAAAGAATTTCTAACATCTAAATGGATTTCTTTTTTTTTTTCTTTTTTTACTCCCGGTTAAGATTAATTAATGCGCTGGTAAAACAATTAAAGTGCACCACGAAGGAAGCCACTTACTCCCAGTCTAAGCAAGGAGTCGAGTTGGGAGTGTGTAGGCTGCTGGTGCTCACCAGCTTGGGCACCCAGGTCCCCTCCTGTAAGGCCTGCCATTCACCTGTCTCTGGCCCATGGCTTTTCTCTAATGAGCCTCTGGTCCTAAAGGCGCCTTCCTCCAACCCCCACCCCTCCCCATCCTGTGCCATACTCTTCAGCCTAGTTAACAGGGTCAAGAACCATGCTTTGGTCTTTGTGGCTACCTTAGAGCAAGCAGGTGTCGGAGAACTCTTGATGTGTCGTCCATGGGTGGTGGGCAGGGTGAGGGGTGTGTGCGTGTGTGTGTGTGTGTGTGTGTGTGTGCGCGTGTGTGTGTGTGTGTGCAGGCCAGGTCTTTGGAGAGGGTGAAGCAAACGGGGGGGGGGGGGGTGTCTAGATGCACCTTCGGTCTGTAACGCCGGGTGTGGGCTTCCGCCACAGAAAACAGCTCACCCTACAGTCCATGAGAGTGTTCGATGACAGACACAAAAAGGAGAATGGCACCTCAGACGAGTCCTCTAGCGAACAGGCAGCCTTCAACTGCTTCGCTCAGTCCTCATCTCCAGCTGTCTCCACTGTAGGGACTTCGAACCTCAAAGGTAGGCCTGCCTGGTCATCTCTGTTTTCTCCACTCCAGGTCTGTGAGGGGAGGTGCTGGGGTGAAGGGTGGGTACCTGGGAGAGTTGGGGGCAGGGCATCCACCAGGGAACCTGCCCTTCAAAAAATGTCAGGTGCTTCGAGAAGCTTCTAAGCAAGAGCCAAAGTTCCAAAAATGTGGCCAGGTATGTCCCCCTCTGGAAATTGTATACAGGAGAGCTCAGAAGCCCTTCCCCCAAATCTTGATTTGGCCGAGGATGGGGTGTCTGCAGGTTTCTTCTCTGGAGCCAGCTTTGAAAACTTGTGTCAAGCACTTAGGTCTCTGTCCCTCCACTGTCTCCAACCAAGCAACTGCTGACGTTTTACTATCTTTGAGCTCTAGATTAAGATGTGTTGGGGGGCACGTAGGGGGAGAGGCGAGGGACTCTCTGTGCCACCTGGAACAAGGAAGGTGGCTGAGAAAACGTCCAGCCCCAGAGCAGCAGTGGGCACTGGGAGAGCAATCAAGAGCCCTAGGGATCTGAGTAGGGAGGCTGGGGGAGTGGGAGGGGACAAGATGGTTCAAATCCCCAGTTATTTCCTGTGTTTAAAGAGCAAGCACTATTTATTTGGAAGGACATGCATTCTCTCCCTCTCAAGGGGAGGAAACCTGTTTTTAAGTTAATCAGAATAAAAGCCCATTATGACTGCCATCCTTTTAAACTTTACACATAAAATTGGATCCTCTTTCTTTTTTCTTTTCTTTCTTTCTTTCTTTCTTTTTTTTTTTTTTTTTCCTGGTAGGACACCCACAGAGGGTGTGGTGACAGCAAAAGAGAATCTGTGATTGTGTCTGGGCAGTGAGCAGGCTGCTCCCATCTCTGTCTGCAAGGACAGGGGCACACAGAAGGCTCTGCTGAGTGTGTGTGTTGGGGGAGGGGAGGGTTTTCATTTCTGCCGCTACCAATTCAGATGCCAGGGTTCAAACGAATCCTTCTGAAAGAATTCACAAATTTGTGGAAGGTATTATTCTTGGTCACTCACCGAACAAAGACCCTGGATAGTAAGTAGGTGTTCCCAAAGTGAGTTTTAGGAGGAGTTTAATTTTTAAGAAAAGGAAATGCAGTGGAGTCGGGAAAGAGGGGGGTGGGCGGGGAAGCTTTGACACAGTAGGAGCTCAATGGATGATTGTAAAAAATACTAAAATCCACTAGCGATTGGGAGAAGCGGTTCAGTTCGACCTAAATATTTTAAATTCATTCATTGCTAGTTTATTGACACATCCCACTAAAGTTGGGAGCTATCATCGCTCCCACTTTGCAGATGAGGAAACTGAGGCGCAGAGTGGTTAAGGGGTGTGCCGGGGACCACCCAGCTTGTAAAGGGCTGGCTGGAGTTCCACTGGCCCAGATTGGAGCTCACGCCCTTCCCCTTGGCTTTTGTTCCCGTCCTCTGGTAGATCTGTGTCCCAGCGAGGGTGAGAGCGACGCCGAGGCCGACAGCAAAGAGGAGCACGGCCCGGAGGCCTGCGACGCGGCCAAGATCTCCACGACCACGTCGGAGGAGCCTTGCCGCGACAAGGGCAGCCCCGCGGTCAAGGCGCACCTCTTCGCCGCCGAGCCCGGCGGCCGGCCTCGGGACGCCGGGCGGCTGGACAAGGCGTCGCCCGACTCGCGCCACAGCCCGGCCACCATCTCGTCCAGCACCCGCGGCCTGGGCGCGGAGGAGCGCCGGAGCCCCGGCCGCGAGGGCGCGGCCACCTCCAAGGCCGAGGAGGCGCGCGCGCTGCCGGGCAAAGAGGCCTTCGCGCCGCTCACGGTGCAGACGGACGCGGCCGCCGCGCACCTGGGCCAGGGCCCCCTGCCCGGCCTCGGCTTCGCCCCGGGCCTGGCCGGCCAGCAGTTCTTCAACGGGCACCCGCTCTTCCTGCACCCTGGCCAGTTCGCCATGGGGGGCGCCTTCTCCAGCATGGCGGCGGGCATGGGGCCCCTGCTGGCCACCGTGTCCGGGGCCTCCACCGGCGTCTCGGGTCTGGATTCCACGGCCATGGCCTCCGCCGCCGCGCAGGGACTCTCCGGGGCGTCGGCGGCCACCCTGCCTTTCCACCTCCAGCAGCATGTCCTGGCCTCTCAGGTAATAATGAGGGGTCTACCCCCGGCTCTCCATGGTTTCCCAGACCCTCACCCAGTGCCCCTCGGTGAGGAGCTTTGAAGAATAATGATGATAGTAGTACTAGTAATAATTAATTGTTAAAGCCAAGGGTTACCTCATGGACTCAGCGTAACCTCACACTTTCCCCAAAAGCTTAAAAAAAAATACTTTTCTAAGTTCAGGACTGTTTAGAGTATCTGGGTAGTAGTAATGATAATGAAGCTGTACCTAGCACTGAGGTCGCACTTGGTCTATTCTGACTTCAGGGGCCCTACCGTCACCTCCACTTTATAGAGGAGGTGGTGGAGGCCCAGAGATGTTGGGTAACTTATCCAAAGTCACACAGCTGGTAAGTGCTGGAGCAGAGAGTCTACCCCAGGGCTTTTTTCAGGGTCTCTGATTCTAGCTTCAAAGTGGGAATGTCTCTTATCTCTTAAATGGCTCCTAGCCAACCAGCCACTAGGAATCAGACAAGGGGGAGACCATGGCCTGGGGAGGGGAGCTGACTCTCCTTGGGTGGGAGTTGAGTCCTCAACCTTTCCTCCCAGTGGGTACCTTGTCTCCTGTCCCCCAAAGGGTTAACAGTTTGTGCCTAGTGGGAAATGTCAGGATAGGGGCAGGCTTCGGCTGTGGCAGGCCTGGCAGCCTCTGTGTGGTTCAGACAGCTGTGCTGGAGTGCAGGGCAGCTGGGGAGAAGTCCTGGGCCGCTGGAAACGCTCTGAACCCAGCAAAGAGGTTCTGTGGGGTTTTCTGCACGCCCTTGCCTTTGTTTTGTCTGAGTACATTCGTCTCCCTTCTCTGAGCCAAGAAGCAGTGTTGTCCTCCCCTCTTGGGGGGGACGAGGGAACGGAGAACAGGGTTGTCTGGCTTCTGGCCTTTTCCCATTGCTGTCCTGTCTGTGAGCCCCTCCTGGTCACCTTGTCCTAAGTGGGCAGCGGACAGGTGGGCGAGAGGCTGCCTGGGCACACAAGTATTAATGGTACCCCAAGGCCAGGGTCAGAGAGAACTAGCCCAGCCCAGGCTGGGGTGCCTACATTTTAAATTCTGCTTCTGCCACCGAGGGAGGGACTTCCTGCTCCCCTGGGGCTCTCCTCCGTTTCTCCATCTGAAACACCAGTATCGGGCTGGGTGATTTCTTTGTCTTTAGAGCAAATGCCTTTTGCACCCTCCACCCCCAATTTCCTTTAGCTTAAGGATCATCTCTGGATTTTTTTTTTTCCTCATTTGAGAAACTTCTAGAATTAGAGTGGGATGGCTGTGTTGGGAGTGGGGGAGGAAGAATGAAAGAAATGTATGTCCCATAATGTATGCCCCGTGGCAGTTTTCAGTCAGCTACCTTAGCTGTGGCTGGACTAGACTGCCGCATTTAACAGGTGCAACAGCTGACCCCCCAGTGGGAGAATTTCTAGCAGTTCTATTGGCCAGGTGCCCCGTGGAGCACATTGCGGGCCTCAGCTCATTGAATATCCAAAGTCCCAATCACTGCATGAACTATTTAGTATTGCCCTCGATCCCCCCCTCCCCAAGAACGCTGAGGCCTAGGGAGTCGGGTGGACCTAGAGAAGGATGTTTGAGATCAAGGATTTGCCAGAGGTCCCAGGGTGGAGGTGGTGGGTTTGAGGGTGGGTAGATGGACGGAGGAGGTTGGCTCCTCCCCATCGCAGCAACCCCTGCTCATTGCCTGCATTTCTCTCCTCCTGCCTCCTCCCCGCCCCCCTTCCCCGCAGGGCCTGGCCATGTCGCCCTTCGGAAGCCTGTTCCCTTACCCCTACACGTACATGGCCGCGGCGGCGGCTGCGTCTTCGGCCGCGGCCTCCAGCTCCGTGCACCGTCACCCCTTCCTCAACCTGAACACCATGCGTCCGCGGCTGCGCTACAGCCCCTACTCCATCCCCATGCCGGTCCCGGACAGCAGCAGCCTGCTCACCACCGCCCTGCCGTCCATGGCCGCGGCCGCGGGGCCCCTGGACGGCAAAGCCGCCGCGCTGGCCGCCAGCCCGGCCTCCGTGGCCGTGGACTCAGGCTCAGAACTCAACAGCCGCTCCTCCACACTCTCCTCCAGCTCTGTGTCCTTGTCGCCCAAACTCTGCCCCGAGAAGGAGGCGGCCACCAGCGAACTGCAGAACATCCAGCGGTTGGTCAGCGGCTTGGAAGCCAAGCCGGACAGGTCCCGCAGCGGGTCCCCGTAAACCCCTCCCTAGAAAAATCTCTTCATTCCAGTCCAGTCCAGTCTGCCGTGCACTTTGTTGGATGTAAAATAAACCACGGGCGTTCAGGGGGGTTGGCCGCTTCTTTGCGCAGTCCTGCCTGGGAAGGGGTGCCGGACTCCCTCTAGAGAATGTGCTAGAAACAGGCCCTGTCGTCTTGGTGTGGTTTATATATCCGGGATCTGGTTCAGATTCTGGGGCTCAGAAATGTCTGTTTCGTGGAGCTATTTGGGGTGGGAGCAAAAGTGTTTTATGATAGAGCACCTCCAGCCAGGCTGGTCTGGGAGCTATGGAAAGGAAGCAAAAGGTAGCCAGGCCCACCAGGAGGGGAGGTGTTGAAAGGCTTCTCCCCCAGTGCAGATTTATATATTTTTTTCCTTCACCGTGTCAAGTAGAAACAAAAAGAAAATTTAAAAAATACATATATACTGGGGACAAATGAATACATAAACATGATTCTGTTTGTGAAGATTAAAAACTTTATAGTGACTTGTGTATCAGTTCTAAATAAATTACTAAGCAACATTGTGTGGGGAGGGAAGTCATTGCCATCCTTGTTTGGTCTCTATTAAGGAAATCTGTGTCTTTTTAATATTCTTGTGATGTTTAAAGAGCCGCTATAGGTCTCTCCTTGCATGTTCCACAGTAATGTATTTGTGGGTTTTATTTTGAAATGCTTGCTTTTAGAGAGAAAAGAACATGACCCCACACCTTTCTCCCCTCCCCCCCTTCTCTACCCTCCCATCGGCAACCCCAAGGGGGAGGATTTAAAGGGAAGGGGTGGGGAAAACACAAAAGATGAATTTATTTTATCTAAGCTATGTAGCAGGATTAATGTCCTCCTCTGTCAGTTCATTCTCTTTCCTGTATATGCAATAACAAGGTTTTAAGAAAAATAATAAAGAAGAAGCGAGACTATTAGACAAAGTATTTATGTAATTATTTGATAACTCTTGTAAATAGGTAGAATATGAATGCTCGGAAAATTAAACCTTTAATTTATTGACGTTGTACATAGCTCTATGTAAATAGGGTTGCAGCTGTCAGGTTTTGTGTTCTTGTTTTCCTTTCGTCAATTTTATTTCAAGGTAAAGGATCGCTTTTAAAACCAGAAAACAACACTTACCTGCACCGACACCAACACACTTTAAAGAGTTGCCTGCAAAAAAAAAAAAATAAATGAAAAACAAAAAAAAAAAAACAAAAAAAACCTTTTTTTTTTTTTTAAATGTCCAAGAGTGGTGGAAGGTGCCATTGCCTACGTCACCCCAAACTGGGGAGGTGATGCCACATCCCAGCTCACCTTAAATTCCTTAAAATACAACACCCCAAGTGTGGTTCTGAGATTGCTTGGGGGTGGGGTTGGGGGGGTGGGGAGTGCAGAGGCTGTGGTTTGACTTTCTAATTTTTCTTTTGTATTTGTATTTGCTAGTCTGATTTCTTCAAAACGAAGTGGGATTGACTACTGTCTTCAGTATTGGTGGTGTTTTGAATTGGTGCCTATAGAGAGAGTCACAGTTCACAAGTCAGGTGCTGAGAGATGGTTTAAAGACAAAAATTCATGAAGGTATATTTTGTGTTATAATTGTGGATGAATTCTTTGGTTTTCTGTATTTCTTCTCTCTTTAAAACATCATCGAAATTTCAATAAATTTTTATTGAAATGTCTCTGGGCCTCGTGTTAAGTGTTTTCTTGAGAAAACTTTACTGCTAGTGGAGTCTTTCAGTCGGTGCTTGCTTCCTCTATCCCCCTTTCCTTCGCCTTTAAGTCATTATAAGACCGCCCCCACGGAACCCAAATGAGCTGTCACTCAAGTTGCAAAGCTAAAAACAAAAGTCCCTTACTGAGGCGAAGGGAGCCCTTCAATCTGAAATTACTTTTCCTTTAAATTAGGGAGCAAAACGAGAGACGGAAAGAGGGCTGATTAGAATTGGGTAGAACAACAATTTCAGATATTTAAGTTATAATGGAAAAAGAATGCTCTGCTCCCTTAAGTCCGTGGTTCCCACACGAATCCGACCAAGAATAAGTTTCGAGGACACCGGACGTTTTCGTTTTGGGCTCGCTCTCCCTGCGCACGTCGGTATGGGAAACGCAAGGCAAAGCTATCTCGCACCAGTGTGCAAAAAAAAAAAAAAAAATCTTTTCGCTGCTAGACCCGGCTTGGCAAGGCAGGGACCCTCCGGGTTGTGGAAGAAACTGCCGGGCCCGAGCGCCCCCCGAGGTCCGCGGTGTCGCGGCTTGGACCCCGCTGACCCTAGGCGCCCCGGCGTGCGCGCGGAATGCGGTGGGCTCCGCGCAGACTTAGCTGTGTCACGCGAGAGAGGAGGCAAGTTTTCCCCGCAAGGGAAAAGTATAGTTGACCCCCCCACCCAGGGAGAAGTCACCCAGGAGGCACCCTCCTACAGCCCTCCCCTCCAGCCAGCCTCCAGGCTGTTTCGGGATTGCCTTTTGAAGCTCAATTTATTTTTGAAACATTCAATAAAGAAGAGCGCGGCCGTGACGGTCTTTTGGTCTCCTAGCGTCCCCACCCCCAGCGGAGGTGTATTTGTGCGGGGGGAGGGGGGAGGGGGCAAGGGAAGGTTCTCGCGGCCTTTTCTGGCCCTGGGGGCCGTGACGTGAGGACCCAGCCGGAGCCTGCCTGGCGGCTGCCTCCCTCCCCCCCCTCCCTGGAGCCCGCCAGCCCGGCCCCAAGTCCCTGTCACCTTCGGGCCTCTTGAATGGCCGGCGAGGAGGATCACCCTCCCCTCCCTATTCCTGTACTTGGAAGGGGATCGAGGTTGGGACCTTTTGGAGAGGGGGGCCGAGCCCCTTGTTTCTGCGTCCAGGCACGTGGGGAGCCCCAAACCCCTCTCCAGGGCTGCCCCCCGGGGTGAGAGGGCAACCAACCAGGGTCGGAGCTGGGGGTGGGGAGCTTGCAGGAACCGGAGACCTTTGGGAAGCTAGCTCCCCCGAGGGCCGGGAGAATGGCAGGGCGCGGGCCCACCAGGGCGGACTCGGGCCCCGGGGTTCCGCGCGGAACCTGCGCCCCTGGAAGGTAGCCGGGGGCAGGGTGTGCCCAGCGCGCTCTGCCTCTCGAGGGGGGGTAGCAGAGAGCCTCGGCCTGGGAGAGGGAGGGAAGGCTTTTCTCTCTCAGCCCATATCTGCTCCCCCCACCCCCAAATTCTCGGACAGTGCTCAGACGTGTGGCGAGCCTTGCCCCCCGCCCCTTAATCTCCTGTGTATCTTATTTGTATGTAGTGATGTTAATGAATAACTCTTGTGGCGCTGATGGACGGGGGGTGAACCGCTCGCAATCTCTCTGGATTTCGTTGCCTATTACTCACCTGGCGCCGGTCGCAATCTCGCCGCGGGCTTTATGGTGGCGGCGGCCGCCGCGGAGGCCACTCGGGGACGGCGCCTTCGGCATTTTTCCGGGCTTCGAGTGCCACCTATCTGTCTGGCCCACGAATGCGCCCAGGTCGCCACCGCTGGCTCGGCATTCCAGCGCCTCCTGGGTTCCGGAACTTGGGCTTTTCACCTTTGCCCTTTCTCATTCTCCCCACCCCAGCCGGCGCTCCCCTCCTACTCGGACCCCCGCTCCCCAGCCCCCCGCATCGGAAGAAGCCGGGCTGTCTTTCCTGGGTATCACTTTCACTCTTCTTTGGGCCCCAGATGAGAAAAACAGTCCTTCCCGTCTTTGGGTTTCCAAACAGTCAGGAAATTCCGGGAGGGGACCCTCTCATCATTTTCTGGCCAAGCACCCTGCTTCTTGGCGTAGAAATCCCCCCAGTCCTCCCCGACCCAGCCGGGCAGGGGATAACCTGTGCGATCTCGGTGGGCAGATGGAGGGAGGAAGGACTCCCGCCTCCCGCAAATTACATAATTCACATTCTACCCTGGATGCGACTTCCCTTTGCCTGGATGCGCTCTCTTTCTTTCTTACTTTAGAACTCTGGAATGTTTCGGTTTTTGCCCTGGCCGCGTCTACAGGGACAAAGGCCGCGGCTCGAGGGAGCAGCAGTCCGTAAGGGCCCGGGCCGGGGTCAGCTGCGGCAGCCTGCAGGGCCGAGCGACTTCGTGATTTCTAGATTTAAGGTGACAAATGCGGGTGCCGGCCGGAGCCCTCCGGCCCCCGCCCCTGGGGGAGGTCGGCTCCAAGCCCGGCTGCACCCTGGCGTCTGAGGCCGGCCGAGGGGCGGGGGTGGGGTCGCCTTTGCTGTGCTTTGAGCCGCGGGTAAAGGCGTCCGGGTTCCTGCTGACCTCCCGGCGCTAATTGCAAGGGCCGAAGGGCGCGCTCCGGCAGAGGCAGGGGTCACGACCCTGTGCGCTCCCTCCTCCCCGGTCGGGCAAGCCTGAAGGAGCGGGGTGTGTGCGAGCGGGCGTGTGTGTGTCTGTGCGCGCGCACACACACAGCCTCCTTCTGGGTCTGCGCGGTCCCGGAACCCACTCTTTCTTTGTGGGGTAAGTTCCCGCGCGTGGGCCCTCAAAAAAAAAAAAAAAAAAAAACCACCACCACCACAAAAATCCTCCATCCAAGAAGGAAAACCCTTGTTCTGACCTTTCCCCTAAGCCAGCAGACAGGCAGCCGCCTTCGGGCGCTGCAAGAGGCTTGACACGCTTGGCGTCCGCGCGCTTTCTGCCTCGCTGGTTTCCAAATTCGACCTCGCGGCAACCAGCCAAGAGAGAGGCCGCGGGGTGTGGGTGCCGGGCCGCGTCGTGGGCTCTACTATACAGAGCTGTAGATGTGCGTCCCCAGGGGTAGCTCTTTGGGTGCTGGCGCTCCGGGGCGAGGACGGGCAGGTGTCAGAAGGACATGCGTGTGTGCGTGCACTTGTGCGTGCTCCGTCTGCAGACGTCTCTTCCAATTTAGCCCTAGAAGTGCACGCGCCAGACAGTTCCGGATGTCGATGCATTTGGTTGTTTTACAATCAAGATGCGTATAATCAAGATGTATATGTTGCAGATGTCGGCGTTCAAAGTACACGTAACAACGATAATAAAAAGAGCTGGCGTGAAAGAGGCGCGTGCACGTGCCAGGCACTCGGTTAAGCACCCCACAAAGGTGAACTCTTTTCGTGCTCACAATTCACCGGACTTTTATCCCCGTTTGACAGAGGAGGAAACTGAGGCACGGAATCGTTAAGGCGCTTAACCGAGATCAGCCGGGGGAAACCCGGAGCCAGAATTCCAGCCGAGATGGGCGCCAAGAAGCCACTTGATCGTCGCCATACCTAATTCAGGCGGCGGTGTACGTACCTGTAGTACGTATGTCTCGGATGTAGAGAAATCTAAGGGCGCGTTCCAGGTTTTTGTTTGTGTCTCGCGCGCTCTGCAAAAGAGAACACTGTACTTTCCCGGCCATCGGTCGTGCTGTAGGAGCGCCACTCCTATTTTGGCATCCCCG